TTATTACAATTCAAATATGACGAAAACAAGAGTAAAGACTTAAAACTTAATGTTTTGTAATTTGTCATGGGTTTTTTTTTTTATTATTCGTTCACCCATTATTCCATACAGGCCTAATCGTTTTGGAGTTGCCTTTTAATGTGAAATTTGCTAGGGTTTTGATTTTTTTTTTTTTTTTTTAATTGACCGTGGTGTTTGCTCCCTCACCAGCTGGCCGTCTGTATGAAGTCCCTGAAGAACTCCTGGTGACCAGGAAAGGACGGAGGAGGACAGGGGCCGACAACTCTGTGAGGCTGAATGAGACGCTCCTCCAGGCGCTTGAGACGACCCAGGCTGTCGGCTCCCAGCATGCCCAGCAGGTCAGCGTCGGTTGTATCTACTGACAGGGTGCTCGTACGGGGGCCTTTGCACATCTGCGATAGGGACAGATTTAAGAGCTTAGTGGCGCCGTAGAAAGTAAGCTAGAAACAAGATGAGGTGGAAGAGGACTAAAAAAGTTTTTTTATGAGGCGTCGGCCCTACCTGAACAAGCTGTTTCAAAAACAGACGAGCAAAGTGAGAGTGATTTCCGGCAGAAGTCAGTTGGCTCATCATTCCTCTAAAGAAGAAGCGGAGACATAGTTACCATGGGACGCGATTTTTAAAGCCTGATTAATGGTGACGGTCCATTTACGGCACGATTGTGGACTAAACTCAACTCCTGGTACCCGAGGCTGCTACGTGGTCTGATTTTCTGCGAGTTGTGCAGATAAATTTAAAATATAACGGCTTTTTTCATGTGTACGCCTTACAAAATTGTATTAAAGGCTAGCCACAATCTGGTGACTCATCAACAAGTCTAATCAAAACCAAGAGAAAACATGCTGTGGTCATTAGCTTAGCACTTAGAAAGAGAGATACAGGTGTACTCAGAATATCATTGGTGTTCAAGCTTAGTAGGATGTATTAACGATGAAATGGAGAGTGTTACTTTATTGGGTTTTAAATCTACTGAGTTTTGACATATATTCAAGCTATTTGTATAAATGCCTTACTGACTTGACTGGTAGCAGGGACCAGAAAAAAATAAAATAAAAACAGATGAAGACATTCCTAATAATTGGATTTGATTCACTGAAAGACCATAAAGAACCCAATAATTGACTGGACTCACCTGATTTTGGTTCCAAGTGCGGCATCAAAGTTCCAGCCCGGCTCCTTATGAAGGTCCTCCCATTCTCGAAGCGCTTCGTAAAAAATGTCTCTGAGAGGAAGGAAAAATCAGAGTCTGGACATTTTAAACTGGGCTTACAAAATAACTAAAAACATTAAAAAAAAAAAAAAAAAAAAAAAAGGGGGGATGTACCTTTTTTTTTTAAGGGGGTGGAAGGCCTTGTCGCTTCCGAAATTGGAGCGATTGTCAGTAGCAGGCTGGAACGGGACTGAGTGGATAAAGGTAGACGCTGAGGGAGAGAGCTGGAACAGACACATAAAGTGTGACGTAATTAAAATCGTGAGCTTTGAGATATGCTCGTTGGACATATTTCACTCTAAGACCATTCGTCAAAAACAATTTTATTTTCTTTCAATATTTTCTCTCCGTTGCTCCCCGCCCCCTTTATTAGGTTAGGAAATCTGCTTGTCTTAAGCACAGGATCAGAATCCCACCACTTTATAAATACGGTCCTGAATGGAAAACATATTTATGCAACATAAAGAGTCCCGTTCGTATTTTTTACGCGTGGGTGAAACAGCGCCGAATCTTAAGGATACAATTTAATACGGCCACGCCCAGCAGCTGCTCAGTACGTGTCTTACCTTGGCTGTGCTTCTGTTCTGAGCCTGAGAGAGGCGGTCTTTAAGATCTGGAGAGAAAGAGGCGACCCGTTCGTTCTCCGCCAGCAGACGTAAGGTGCACTTGTCCAAATGAGCGACCAACCTGTAGAAATTAAATGAAAAAAAAAAAAAAAAAAGCAAACATTTCAAAGCTCTGTATTCAGACGTGAATCAGTCTTGATAGATATGTTTGATGTAAAGGCTTAAGTAGATAATAACACATTGAAAAACAAAAATAAACACTCACTGAAATTGATTCTCCAAAACTTTCACCGCAAAGTACACACAATTGTGTACTTGTCTCAGGTAGCATCTTTCCAGGACATCTTCAAAAACAACAAAAAAAAAATTATTATTTAATAATTTTTCAAACATTCAACATTCGGTTCATCTCTGTATCAATAGGTCTAGTTCCCACCTGAATTTACCGAACACAAACTCAACTGCTCTTCATCGTTATGTGTGTGAAGAGACCGGGATGTTAACAACTGCATCACAAAGAAAAGCTCCAGGTAAACGTTTGGCACGAGGTTTTCTGTGAAGACATAACAAAAAATAAATACATTTAAAAACTTCTATTTGTTTTATCTTGCACAACAGCATTCTTAGCATTGGTCAGCTTACTTTAATTCCTTTTAATCAGTTAAGCTGCATAACCTTTGAAAACACCAGTATATTGCTTAATAATAAATAATGCAGAGAAAATTTTCCAGCAGTACCAATCCGAACGCTTAGCTCATTACCACCACCCTGTGGTCATTTACCTGAAATGCAGGTGCAGTACAGCTCAGCCAAAACATCCAGGTCTGAGGAGAAGGTGACTCTGCATGGTTCAGGACACATCGTCTGGGGGTCAGGGGTGACTTTGGATTCTGCCCCACTTCCTGTCTTGGTGGGAGTACAGGGATCCAAAGAGAAGGGAGAGAGGGAGGCGGCCTGCTGGGCAAGCTTTGTCCTGCAAACAGAAACATTTGAACAAAACGGCATTTAACAAGTCATAGCTTATAAATACATTGCCTAACAACTCCTACAACTTGAACTTCTTCATGTTTTGTCATGTTGCAACCACAAATTTTGTATTTCATTAAGATTCTGTTATAGACTAATGAAATGGATGTGGATGAAGAAAGATGCAAGTTTCTCTTAACATCTGTTGCGAAGAACATAAGGTAGCCGTTGAAATTGTAACTGTTCTTTTTATTGCCGAGTGCTTTACATCTAATAAAAAAAATGTAAGAAAGTGTGCAGCGCATTTGTTTTCTAAAAGTTAAATCCAGAGGGGAAAAAAAGTCAGACTTCACCAAATATTATGCAAAGACTGCACAAGTTTGTGTTAACATCATAAAAAATGTCAGATGAGACATCTGATCCTCTTTTCCAAGCTTTCTGGTTTTCTTCTATTCTCATGGCAAATTAAAAGCACGTTGTCTTGATTTTGACTTATGCTCTAGATTACACCTTGGTGAAAACAAATCTGCTTTTAATTACTGTAATAAAACTTGACTAAATGCAAAAAGTATTCTCAAATGAAGACTGACCTATATTCCGTTTTAATTGCCGAGAACAGAAAAAAAAATTTTCCAAATAAGCAAACTGGATGCCTTTCATTTAACCAGCAAAAAACACACAAAACCCATTTTAAGTTTTGGACCTATGATTCCATTCCTAGAAAAAAAAAAATCAGATTTTTTTTGTTTATTAAAACAGCTCATGTTCTGTTTAGTTTTATTTTTGGTGATTTTAGTTTTAAAAAAACTATTTTTGTTTTTGGCCCATATGTATTTTTGTACTGATAAAAATGCTTAGACAACCCTTCAGAGTTGGATGGATGGATACAAAAGCAGCAAAACGTGGTTGAATAAATATGCACATAAAATACCAATAAAAACAGAAGTCTGCAGTTATAATAAGACGAAATAGGAAAAAGTTCACATGGTGTGCCAACCTTTGCAGTACTACTACAATAGGATGGTCAGACGTCAAAGGAACAAAACATGCCTACTTTATCTTTTGCATTTGAAAACCTCATGAGCTTACTTTTCCCTTTTGAGTAATTCTCTCTCCTCCTTCAGGCTCATAGGACTCCCTACTGCTGTCAATCCCAATCCCTCAAGTGGCTCCGCTCCCAGCGGAGGGCTGGAAGCCTTCTGGAGAGGTGTGGATGTGAAGCACGTCTTTGGCTTAGAGTGAGGCCGGTCTGCGCTGACCGGTGTCGGGTTTATTCTTCTGGACGGCTTGGACGTCCTGGAAAGGTAACAGAAGCTGTGAGACATATTCAAACCTAAACGATGGTTTTAAGTTTTCGGGAGAAGTGTTTCAACTCACCCGGAGGAAACGGGACACGACCCGACCGGAGGGAAGTCTTCCAAGTTGTTGAAGTTGAGATGAGCTGGAGTCGAAGGTGAAACCTGCTCGCTCATCCTGCCATGCCCTCCGCCTCTTGCTGATCGCCTCCCACCAGGCTCATCGCTCTGAGGGCCTCCACGCCCGCCTCCGTGTCTTGTTTGGCCACTGACCAGCGTGCTGCCAGCACTCTTCTTGCGTCCTTTGTGTGTCTGGGAGCTGGTGCTGCTCTGCAACTCCGGGGGAGAAACCATGTAGTCACCGAGGCAAACTTTCTGGGCATGCTTGCGCTCAGAGCCCGACGATCTTGAGGCAGGACTCCACCCTGTAGACCAGGGGGGGCTGCAGAAGGCACTGACTCCACTTACTCCTGACTGACCAACAGCATCCGACTCACTTCCAGGTGACGCAGAGGCGGCGGGAGAGAACAGCTGCACGCGACTGCCACCGCGAGATCCAAGTCCACTCCCTGCAGACCTGCACGATGTCTTGTCAGAGAAGCCTGGAGTCTGTGCGGGGGGTCTGGGGCAGCTAGGGGTCTTGGCTGGTGTTGCAGGACCATTAGTCAGAGCGTCGCTGCTCTGCTCTCGCAGGAAGTTTAAGAGGAAAGGGACAAACTCTTGTTTCTGAATGGCCAGCTGAGGCTCACTGAACGACAGCTTTTCACCCTCCTGTTGACGAGAGACAAAGACGAAACTAACTGTAAACAACTTTACCTGACTTAGCTCGCGATACCCCAGCTAACATTTGTTTACCTTCGTGTTTGCCCCTATTCACAAGTAAATACAGCAATACCGAGAGGAGCGGGTAGGATTCGCTTACTGTGAAGAGTTTCTTTGAAGCAAATGGAAGAAGAGAACATCTTGGCTGGGGTATCCTCACCAAAGCTATAGAGACTAGCTAGCTCCGCAGCTAAAAGTTTTGTTTACAATAACTTGCGGGCTGTGACATCTCATACGGCGCCCCAAGTTACGACATAAGCGAAGCCAGCGTTGCTACGATGCAGGTATTAACTGTTTCAGACCTACCTGAACGCTTTTCAGCCAGTCAACAACCTTATCCACGTCCACTTTCCGCAACAAAACAGATTCCAAAAGAGCCGCCATTCTGGGCTGCGCTGCTGAGGGACACAAGAAGGAGGCGGGGTCGTAGTGCGCGCAGGCGTACTGTCAAAGTGGAGGCTCGACAGCCGTAGACGTGTAAGAGTAGACGCTGCACTGTGTGTGATACGTGAGTAGGGTCGCCATATTGTGATAGGCAAGTTTATATTTGAGAGGAATAACTGAATTAAAACAAGATTTTACGAATAAAAGAAATACAGAAATTTAGTTATATTAATCCAGATTATTTTTTATTCTCTATTTTAGATAGTGTGAGTTAATAATCTCATTATTTACATAAGTACATTCGTTTGCTTATTTGTTCGTTTACAAAAATATCACCAAAAATATCGCGACAACGCTGACGTATGATTCGTCTTTGTGTACCGTCTAGAGTTCTATTTCTATACTTCAGGCCCTAATAAGTTCATCAAAGCTCCGATTACACTGAAATGGGCTTCCGTAGTTTCGAGGTAGCGACAGAACTGCACGTAAGGCTGCAAACCCCTAAAAATAACAAAAAATAGAAGTCAAACATGGTTATTTTACGAAAGAATTGAAACAAAAAACATTTTTAAAAGTTTATTTTTTTTATACATTTTGTTTTTCAGAATTAAATACCAAATGTTTACATTCGTTTAAAAAGAAAAACGTTTTTAAACTTTTTAAAAATGCATTATGGGCCCATCCCGGGCCTGGTTCTGATCAGGGTCGCGCAGTTTTCGCTTGATGTACAGCTGCAAAACGAAAGGTCCAATTCAATCCGTTTCCTTTTTCTGCTCAGTCGAATTTCACAGTCCATTCATTCAGATTGTGGTGTATTATATTTGCATGGAACTGTGAATCTGACTGTATTGGGTTGAAATATATGAGGATGAACTGGACTGGACAGTTTAATGTGATTGCATATGTTAAGATGAAGTATTTTGAGATTTCCTTAACTTAAAGGTGATAAAAAAATAAAAATAAAAAAAAACTACCACTGTAATTTAACGTCTGGTCCAATGGTTTACTGTAAGGTTTTTATTTACATTTTGCACAGCATGAGCAGGGTCGTATAAATTATTTCTTCATCTAGCGCCAAGAATCATAAACAAGAATATGTCAAACAGTTCTGTATGCATGCGGAATGAGTATTTTATTCATAACCAGTTTATAAAAATAAAATACAAAATAATTCTAAAATAAAAACAAAATTAAAGAAACACTGTACAAGGCATTTATATGATACAAATAAAATATCAAACATAAATAATTACAGGTATATACAATGCAAAACTCCCACTTGTTACATTCCTTCCTTGAAGCTGCACAGTGACATTTAAAAAACAATGGCATATGCTACAGCAAAGAAAAAATATTAAACATAAAAAAAAAGAAAAATCATGATTTTTGAATTTAAAATAAAGTTGAGGCTAATGTCACAATAAATAAATTCAAGTCAAGCATTTCTAGGTCATTGACAAGTATTCTAATGTGGCATGAACAGTGTTTTTTTAATTTTATCTCATTTTTCGAAGAAGAAAACAAAAACCAGAACAGGTCAGTTTGTTCTTTCGGTCTGTGTGTAGAAGGAACCACTAACACAAAAAAAAGAAAAAAAGAAAAAAAAGACACCGTTCTACCTGCGAGTCACTTTCAAAAGTGACAAAGGAAATCTAACTTGGACAGAAACACTAACACTACGACTACACACACCACTTCTGTGCATTAATAAGAAAAACCATGACGAAATCTGATTATCATAGAAAACCAGCAGCATTGTTTACCACCTGTTCCTTCCTCTCATTGAAGCATATAAGTTATTGTTTTTTTACAACACTGTTTTGTTTCGTTTTTAAATTTAAATATGACTGAATATCTTACAGGTATTTATTAAAAGTCTTCGTAATGAATTTTAAAAGCTGAGGGTACTTCGATGTCTGCGGGACAGTTCACATAATGGATGTAAAAAATAATAAAAAAATAAATAAATAAATAAAAGTCACTACAAACACACGCCATGGAGATTGACCAGCTCCCCCCAAGTTTTTCTTATTTAATTTGTGGAATACAGGTACACTTCAGGGTGGTTTTGCACACAAAAGTTTGCTTCTTTTTTCTTTTCTTTTTTTTTTTTTTATTATTCTTGAATCTCCGAGGAACGGTACGGACAGGAGAGAGGAAAGGAATACTCCGTTTTTTTGCTCTAGTGGTGAAACGATCTCCAGCACAGACAAGGCTCAGTCATCCCTCGCTATATATACAGAGGGGCAGGGAAGAGGCATTTAAGGCTGTTCTGACTGAACGCTGTCCGCCTTCGGGATGAGTCATCAGAGCTGCTCGGTGAGACTAATCTGCGCGAGTCGAAAGAAGCGGGACCATTTCACATCTGCGAGCGAGCCGCATCTCAGCTCAAGCCACCAAAATATTTGGCAATGTCGCCATTGTCCTTATGTATAGCAACATCCAATCACACAGGATCTCATACGACTACAATCTCCTCCATTTTGTGCATCAGATTAGTGGAATGCAGTCCTAAAAACAGCATCATGTACATTGCCTTGCAAAAGAATCTGCATACTAGTAGAACCTTTCCACAGTTTGTCAAATGTTGAGAGCGACAGTCACACTGGATTTTATTTAGCGGTGTCAGAATAAATATCAAAACATGATATTTGAATACAGGCCAAATAAAATCACATAAAATCAAATGTAATGCACTATATGATGTCTGCCATTGTAGCACAATTCCCATGGTGAATCATGATGATACGGATACTTTTTTTTTTTTTTTTTAGCAGGACATTGATCATGGGTTAATAAAACTAAATCCAGAGCAATCCAGAAGGGAAAACAATGAATAGGTTGCAAAAGACTGGACACTACAATGGACCAGAGCTACAATGGAATATTTAAATCTAACCATTTTGCCTAGTGAATGTCCAGCCCTAAGTTCAATTGGGAATCTGTAGTAAGACTTGAAAGTGTATGTTCAGTTACTCTCCATCCAATCTGAACTTTTGTAGAAATTGTGAAAACCTTTCTACCCTACTATTTTGTTGTATCGCATAAACTCCCAATAAAATAAATTTCAGTTTGCGATTGTAACATGACCAGATTTGGGTAGAAATAACAAGCTACATGTACATTTACTTCTGTAACTTTTTGAAAAAACAAACAAAAAACTTTTAGGTGTACTTTTTTTTACACTGTACTTTTTACTTTTACTTAAGTAGTTTCATTATGAAGTATGTTCTTCTCTTATTAGTGTAACTTTTCAAGATATTCTACCTGCTGTGAGTAACTTCACTGAATGGAGAAGAAGCTTCTTTCAACCAAAAATTAACCGGACACAGACACGCACCTAAAGTATTTTTGTTGAAGTTTCATAGGTTTTTACATAGAAAGAAATTGATTTGGAAAAAATGTTTATTTTGCCTGGTTTTGTTATGTTGGAATTTTGTTATTTATATGAGTTATTTCCATTTTGATTTTTAAAACACCCAAACTTTCACATAACTTTATATTTCAGTCCATTTGATGGCTCGGTTTTAAAACATTTTAAATTTTTTATTTATTTTTTTTACTCTTGATTGAGTGAATTCTCGGACGGCTACTTTTTACTTCTACTTGAGTAAAAATTATTTTTGAAGAAGTGCTGATCTTACTTGAGTACAACTTTTGGAGATGTGTCAGTATTTTTTCCAAGACACTGCAAGCAGCAACATAATTGACCCAAATCAGGACAAGAAGCACAAAGACACAGGGTCTAAGGAACGAAATCTGTTGACTTATTCAGGTAATGACGTTCTCATTGGGTTAAAAGAAGAATACCACTTGATGCAATGCGCTGTGCGACTCTTTTGCTCAGCAGCTGGTGTTTTCTCAGCATGCAAAGAGCAGCAGCTGAAGGAGGCTGAAGTTAGCAGTATCGTACAAGCGGAGGGTCCAGAAGGAGGAGGCGTAGCAAGGAGTTAAGATAAAATTGATAAAACAGCAGCCAGGAACGGTCTTCAGTGCAGGATACATGGAGGTTTGAAGCAGTGTTTTGATTTGTGAAATGCATGTTCATATGGCCTCGATTTTCTGTATTATCAGAGGGTTTTTTGTTGTTTTTTTTTTTGTTTTGTTTTGTTTTGTTTTTTGAGGTTGCTTTTGTTCAAAGCCAAAAACAGCGACACATAGATATACATCAACCCTGAAACCTATAACCTTCCCTCCCCCAACCCCCAAGTAGTAAGAGCTACTTTGTCCAAAAACTACAAAATGTCCATCTTGCTACCTTGGTCAAAGAAATAAAGATTAATGTAAAGGTTCAACTTTTTAAGTGCTGGCACAAGTCTTTTTGGCCTTTTATTCCCAAATTACAAACACATGAGAGTAAATCTTTAAGCTGCCCAAAGTGCCAAGGCACATGCTGAGAGAAACGTCTGCGTCCATGCATTACTCACCAGTAACGCACCTTATGCTGTTCAGGCTACGTCAACCGTGACCACTTGAGAAAAAAAAAAAAAAATCATGATCCACTTATTCCTGTCCTAAAGATCCTAAGTTAACCTCACAGCATCACAGTAGGCACAAAAAGGTGCGCGATGTCACGCACTTTACACGGCTGATTGTATAGAGGGCCACCGAGCGATCCCTCCGATTAAACACTTAATGTGACGGGTCACACGTCTGGGGAAGGAGGTCAGAAGAAGCTTTACAATAAATACTTCAATAAAAACAACTTTAGACAAAGTATAGCTTACTTTAGCAAAAAACGTACTATAATACCCTGCGTGCAGCCTCCAAAAGCAGAACCGAGGCAAATTCTTCATCGAGTTGGAATCAGCTACTCTGTAATTCCCAAGTGCATTAAAAAAAAAAAAAAAAAACAAGGATTAAACCGCTACTAATACCTAATCAGGCATAACGTTATAACCACCTGCCTGGTAGCGGGTCGGTATCGGCTGCCAAACAGCTCTGACCCATCGAGGTTTTGGACTCCAGTAAACCCCCAGAAAGTGTGGTAGGGTGTCCAGGATCCTTCTAGGTCCCGTAAGTTGCAAAAATGTTTCGGCACATCCAAAAATGGCTTGACTCCAGTGAGATCTGGAGGAATTAGAGGCCAAGTCAAAACCTAGCAGCATTCCTGAAACAATTTTGTTCCGCCGTCGGGCACATTGTCCTGCTAAAAGAGACCAAACCCACTAGGGATCATCACTTCCACGAAAGTATGTTCAGCGTGGTCTACAATAATACAACAGCCACCTGGTGAAAGTGACAAAACCCAATGAAACATCATCAAAAGCATTACACCTCTTCTCCTGGGATCCATTTGATCTGAAGGAAAAGGTGATTTCGTCCCTTTCACCGGCCAAAATTCGTTTCATTGCTTTGGGTCAGTTCAGATGCTCACCTGGCCATTGTTGTGCAGCAGTGAACAGGGGGTTTGGGGGGGGGGGCTTTGGGGGGGCCAGCGTCATGCTGAGGAGGGTGCTGCATGCAGCCACATGCGCAACAAACTCTGATGCACTGCGTGTTGTGACACTTTTCTAACTTTTCTATTAGAAATGGCACTATTCTCTTAAGCAATCGAGCTGGAGTATTTCATTTGTTTGGTCGGACCAAACAGATCCACCCAGACTCGTCGGCTTATACCGCTCAACTTCGCCGACCTGCTATTGCTCCCTCTTTGGACCACTTTTAATTGATACCAACCACAGCAGACAGGGATCGACCTAAAAGAACGGCAGCTTTAGAGATACTGAACCCAGAACAACTTGGCTCTTGTCAAACTCACACAAATCCTCACAGATTTTTTTCAGCTTTGAGGAGAAAATATTCACTTGCTCCCTACTACTCAGTCAAAGCTGCCCCATCACCTGAGGGTGGTTATGTTATGCCTGATTGGTATATGTCAATGTACAGGATAGGTCAAAGTTAAAGGCTCAACATTGCTATTGTTCTATGTTATACTACTGCCTGCAGCATGATAAAGACACAGCTTTAGTAAAACGAGTATCCGGATGCAGCCTTTTTCTTTTTTCTTGCTAGTTATACCTGCGAGGCTCAGTTTGAAAGATGAAATTGAAACGAAAGCTGATATTTAAGTTAGCAAGTAGTCAAAACATCTGAAAGGTCAGACAAACCCTGTGTGCAAACACGGGAGGAGGGGAACACTTGGAAGAGAAGGAGGTCTGGAACTAAATACAGAAGAGGAACTAGGTGTTTTACTGACTGGACAGGAAGACTCAGGCTTATTTTCCGACTGACGTCTATCCTATCATCACTGGAATCCTCACTTCCTTTGCTATGGCGTTTACAATCCGGTTGCGAAATTATCTGCTCAGCTTGCTGGAGCACTTGCCCTCTCGGCTGCAGCCCTTTCCCCGGGACAGGTGGAGCGGGCTCGCGCGCGCCTGCCGACTGCAACACGTCTCCTGGTGGTGGAGGTAGAAGCGGCGCGGAGGCGGCGACCCCGAGAAGCTGGGTGGCGAGTGGCTCCGGCCCAGGCAGCCCCCGCCGCCTCCGCCGCGGTGCTCATGGCGGGACGGCGAGGAGCTGACGGAGCGCTGCAGCGAGGAGGAGCTGCGCGGCGAGGCGCTGGAGCTGCGGTGGTGATGGTGGTGATGGTGGTGGTGATGCGGGGAGCTGGTCAGGCTGCAGACGCCCGTCCTGGAGGTCCCGTGCTGCACCGGGGAGCGGTGGTGAAGTGGGGAGCCGCGGGCGCCATGCATCAACTGAGCGATGCACGACAGGAGGTCCGAGTCGCTGGTGCTGCCGGCCCGGATGCGGTAGCGCCTGAGTCTACACAGGAAGATAAAGACGGTGAAGGATATATATATATATATCAATCATTATATATATATTTATCAATCATTCTGACAATCAATTATTTGGATAAAAATAAATGGTGCATTTCTACAGATCTTTCATTTGACTACTTAAGGCTCTTTTATTCAATAATAGAAATACATTAAAGAATGAAAATAAGCAAATATTCTAATTTCTTTCTTCAAATAAGAAGATAAACATTTCATTGCCAAAAATGAAATAACAGCATTGCTTCAGTGAATGCTTGATCATTTGTAGCAAAGGACGTCTCTGAAGCTGCTTGACTTATAATCAATGCAGTGTAGAGCTGATCTATTGATTATTTTCTTGAGTAAACAATTAGTAATTGGACATTAAAATGTGCTTATGAATAGATTTGGTTTTTTTGTAGAATTTGATGAATTCTGGGTAAAACATATTTACCTACAAAGGCTTTTTTTATTTGTGTCTTAATTGCAAAATGTAAATATTTGGGTTAATTACTGCCTGGATGTAGTTTTTGTTGTTTTTAAATGTTCATTGGAATTTAAAGTTTATTGATCTTTGGGAGAGTGTTCTTGCATTTTTAGGCCATTACGTTATATTACTTGAAAATGGTTTCAAAAACAACAATATAAAAGTTTGTCACAATCATTTTTGAGACAAGTGGTCGTCTAGCAAAGTTTGTTATTGTGACAGACCTGTGTATTGTTAACAATCAATCGATTACTGTAATAGTTGGCAATTATTTCAATAATCGATTAATCACGATTAATCACAGTTAATCAGCCACATTATATTTTATTTGGGAGTACTTGAGTAAAGGGGGCTCAATATAACTGCATGCTGTTATAACGTTTCCTTCCGCTTCACAATAAAATAATATAATTTATTTCGCAAGGCAGTGTACATTGGGTCATTGAAATCTGGAAGCGGGCGTTACCTGCCCTCCACTGGGGCGCGACAAGGTGGCTTCCCCGGGGGCGGGCGCGGCAGGAACTGGGCGGTCAGCTGCTCTGCGGAGACGGCCGAGTGAACGGGACGAGGGATCCTGCTCTTCCGAGAGAGGGGGCTGGAGGAGGAGGACAAGGACAGACCTTCGTCCCCCTGGCGGTCGGAGCGGGAGCCGACGAGGGAGTCCTCGTCCTGAGAGCGGTCGGAGGCGGACGACAGCGGGTCCCTGACAAGGGAGGCTATGGCGGCGCCGCGGCGGTCAGAGAGGGACGGGGAGGCGGTGGGAGAGGGGACGGGGCCATGGTGGCTGGCTTTTTTCTGCAAAAGTTTCTCCTTGGCTGACCCCGGAGGGGGGAGCTCGAGCAAGCTAGAGGGCTCAAGCACAGGGATGCGACTTTGCCTGCGACTGGAGTCCTTGCGGGGGGCAGCGGACGAGGAGCAGGAGGGGGTAAGAGTCACATTTCCCCTGTCTTCCTCCCTAGTCTGTGCCTCTGTCGCACATGGGGCCGGGGTGGCGTCATTGTTGGGGTCTTTGTGTTTCAAGAGCTCTCCGGCGGCTCGGGCATTGCAAGGCGGAGAGACGCAGCCGTTGGCAAAAAGGGGGCTGCGAGGAGAGAACTGAGGAGGCGAGTGGGCGGAGCGGGGGGAGCGAGGAGAAGACGCGCGGCTTGGCACGGGGCTTTGAGCTTTGGCGTGAGCGTCCCCATTCGCCACCGTTTCAGCCAGCGGGTCCGTCGGCGTCCCCGGATGGGTGGGGGCGTGTTCCTGCTGGGAGTCTATCTGCTGAGTCTCACCTTCAGCATCACCACGCCTCTCCAGCAGGAGGCACTGTGGAGCGCTGTCTGATCCCGACTGCGAGGACAGACCTGAAGGACGCTGAGCTGTCAGCTGGATGGGGAAGGGAGGTGGACGAGAGAAGAGTGGGGAAGGGAAAAAGCAAAAAACAGGTGTTATTCAACCAAACGTAACGCTAAAAATGGGAATAAATTGCTTATAATATAAAAAGGTCTGTTGCTGGTAGACCACAACATGTGGAGTTGTGCTGTAGATCCGCAGCAAGAGCCAGATGCAGATGTGTTGAACGGAGAGGAATTTGATATTAATAAAAGAAAATGGTAAACAAATGGTGATTAGTTGAGCAATGGCATGCAAAACCATAGCTACCCATTAATCAGACTGAAACACACGAGCGCTATGGCAGTGTCAGTCAAGCTGTGAGTACTAAACCGGCAAGGACAGGAAACGTTCACGCAACTTCGCAGGGGGCTTCAGCGAAGAGAGGGTGAGGAACAAATACAGGGAGAGAGAGAGGAAGAGGAAGATAGAGAGGACAAAGACGATCTGAAACAAAAGAGATCATGCAACCTGTAGTCATGACTCCACATTCCCCAACAGGCATGCCACAGTCAGACAAAGACACACCCTACTAATCACATGACAAGGACACATCTGAACTCATGCTCTATCTGGGCTGCACAATGCCCCCTCTACATAGATCTGGGAGAGAGAGAGAACTGCACAAACGAGCCAAGCCCAAAGGAACACACAAGAAAAAAAAGAACAGCTATAACCAGCAACAGAAGAGAAGATGGAAACCAAGAATGAAAAATATATAAAACAAATGTGTTGCTACGGGTGTAGAGAGAGAGAGGAAGCGGAATGGAGGCTCGTTTGTTTCTACGGGAACAGTGATGGGAGATTCATCACCTGCTGAAGCTGGGCGCGGGTGATACGTATGACTGAGGGGAACTTGGCATTGGCGGCACCGGCGGGGATGGCCGGCAGCTTCCTGCGACTGGGCGAGCGAGCGCCCGGGGAAGGGTTTGTTGGCAGAGGGAGGGAGGAGGTAGAGGAGGACGGGCGTTCCTGCTGCGGCTGCTGGTCGGCGGACTGGCTGCGCCTCAAGCCCGCTGACTGGCGCAGGTGCAGCGGGTCCGACAGCGTTGTGAGGAGGGTGTGAGGGCTGGGAGAGCGCAGCGGGATGGGGCTGGACGTCCGCGCCAAGACCTCCTCGGGTAGAGACGGAGGAGAGGTGGGGAACTAAGAGAGGGGAGGGGATCGGGAGGAAGTGGGGAGGGGGATTGGAGAGAGGAGGGACTGTGAGATTGATGAGGGTGTGTGAAGATGGAGGTGGAGGTGGTGTGAGGTGGAAGAGACAAGCTGCTCTGGCAGGGAGCGCCACAAGGAGTCGCTTTAATCACATCTGGTAGAGAATGTAGGAGGTGAGGTCTGCGCTTATTTAAATGAAGGACGGTAGGTCTGCTTGTAGGAGGTGGGGAGAATTGGCAGTAAGTTCTTACAGTGTCTTGCAAAAGTACTTTTATACAGTCAGTCACTTTTTTTTAGCTTTTTTGTAGAGTGGGAAGACGTGGCAAAGGTCAACGGCCAAGGACTCAGGCCTCCATACAGGGAACCCCGAGCCATCGCCTCGCCTTAAAATCGCAAACTTGAATGGATTTTATTGGGATTTTACACGACTGTCCAAAACTTCATGGTTTTCTTTTCCTTTCTTTTCCTACAAATAAAAATCTAAATATTATGGCATGCTTCCTATTGTATTAAGTCCCCAAAGCAGCAATTTAAGAGGTGTCAATATATATGCTTTGATTCAGGTCAATTTAACTCATTTTAAATAACATTTCTGCTGTATGCATACAGGCCTGTCACAATAACTAATTCTACTGCAATACACGATAATACTGTTGTTTTGAGATCATTTTCAAGAAATATAATGGCAATGGCGTAATAAAGCAAATACATCCTCTCAAAAACTAATCGACTTTAATTTCTGAAAATCATTTAGGGCTGGAAATGGAAAAGATATTTGAACTATCCAAAATGAATAAACAAAACAACAAAGAAAATGAATACTGAAGTCTCTGTACGCAAAACTGTTGTCATTCAGTCTTTGGTAAGAAAGACACAAGGAAAATAATCAGTCATACAAGAAGTTTGTTTTAATTTATCATGCAGTTAATTGGTTTATTGCTGGTTGCCACAGGCCTATTTGAACATTTCGGTTTTATTTTCATATATTATAAATAGTGTTGTTTTTAATGCAATTTTTTTTTTAAATGATCCTACTCAGTTGCACGTTCCTTTAGATTGGAGCATGCTACTTTTAATAACAGCACAGTATATATATTTTAATACTTTTATCTTTCTGTGAAGCTACATGCCTCATGTTTCTGCTGTTGCACCTTAATTTTCCCACTCTAAGAAAGGATATGTTTATTCCATTCCATCCCCACAGCATGATGCTGCCACCACCATGTTACGCCCTCTAGATGACGGGCTTGGATGTCAAATGTTTGGCCTCGTCTGCATTTAGACTGAGATTACATTATTAAAAAAAAGCTGACTATTTAGTGATGAGGCAGCATCGTCAGTATAAAGTGGGCTGCAATGCATAAAATCTGAATCAAATACTTTGAAGTTTGTGTTTGCAAAGTGACAGAATATGAAGCAGATTGAAGGGGTATGAGGATTTTCTGCAAGGCACTGTAAGTTTTCACAGTTGAATTATAGATTGAGAAGAAACGTAACACTGAACTAAGTTGTCTACTGCGAGAATATGAATAGCAAAACAGCAAAAATATTTAACTTAGAAAAACCAAAAAAGCCTTTGGAAATTAATTTGTGAAGCAAAATAGGAAAAAAAACAACAACAAAAAAACAAACAAAATACTGCGACCAAAGTAAAGCTGCGCACAACTACTCCAAACGAAACCGAACGTTAAAATCATAAGCTCTCCCTTTTTCTTTTTTTTTTTTTTTTCCCCATGCTCTGATCTGATTGAAGCACTCAGGCTGAGTTGTATCTGTTTCTAAAAATGTACACAGGTGAAAGAGCAAGCAAACACAAAGCGGTAACATTTACCTTCAGACTACGGCAAGATGCAGCTGGTGGGACACTGATTGTTGTATGATAAAAGCATCGAAGTTCTAGACCTAGAACTCTGACTCTGTGCAGCTTTTTATCCTTGTAAAAATGCTGACTACAGTCATCATCATGTTTGGCATGTTGTGAAGCGGCCTTCCCGTGAAGGGTCTTACCTGAGTCAGGATTCCCTCAGCCAGAGCTTCAGCTGGGCTGGTTGGGGTAATAGGAGGCAGAGCCCCCCCGGGGCCCACACTGAGCTCCAACTTGTCCACTTTTACGCTTCCTTTGGAGGAAGCCGCGCTTTCTTGCTTGGCTTTGCCAGAGTTAGGGGTCGGGCTTCTCTTTTCCCATCCGGGAGATGCTTCCTCCGGTTGGAGCACCTCCGGCTCCTCATCCTCCTCCGATGGGCTTGTTGTGGCTTTGGCTCCGGGGGAGCCACCGGGTCGCTCCACCATTACCCACTCCCTCGAGTCAATGTCCTGCCTCCCAGAGCTCAGATTAAGCGCCACAAAGCCACCACTACTGGCCGCCCCCTCTCCCTGCTCAAAAGACCCCGGCGAAGCCGGTTTAGGAGAACCAGCTCCGGACAGGAACTCCTCGTCGTAATGCCAGACGCGATCGGGGCGCTCCCCGGCGGACCCAGCTTGACCCTGAGTTGCTGGGACGACAGCAGCCTCCTTGGCCTGGTGCTGGGCGCCAAACTGCTGTTTCCCTGAACTAAAGGACAGATGCAAAAGAAAAAAAAAATGAAAATGAAAACAACTCGAGGTTAACCCAAAGAAAATTTTTGTACACACTGCAAAAACAAAAATTCTTACCAAGTGGTTTTGGTATACTGTCTAGTGCAAATATTTTACTACACTTATAATAAGGCAAATGTGACTTAATTTTTCAGCAAGACATAGGAGCATATTCTAAGTAAATAATTCCTCGTCATTGATTTTAAATAACGTCACTTATAACATTTTTTCCCTGAAGCGAAAAGATCTGCCTGTGGAACCAGTACATCCTCAAAAGTTACTCGCAAGTTAGTTTTGTCTTGTTTCATGTGTACTCAAGATATTTGAAACAAAAACTAGACTAAATCTACTTGGTAAGATGGTGTGCTTTTGCAGCGTAACGCCTCACAAATGGGCTGAATTGTGGGCACACTTTACCAGTTATCCAGGAGACGCTCTGGGCTGGACTTTGACTCCAGGCCCAGCCTCCTTTCCAGCTCCAAGCTGTGGATGTTGCGGAGCTTCCTCAGGAGAGGGCCCTCCCGATCGGAAGCCACCGCCTCCGAGTGCGGTTTGACGGGAGAGCCCAGACTCGGCCCTGCGTAGGGGCTCTGGTGTCCTTGTCTGGCCTGGTTGTTGCCTTGTTCCTCCTCTGCCGCAGCCTGTGGAACCAAGAGACGCTCTCACGACTTTGAACGAATTTCAACATTTGTGTAGGCCTGTGACTTTGCTGGATGATAAGCTGCCCCTGAAATTATTGCGATAAACGATAATATTGTTAATTTAGGACAATTTAGAAGTCTCTTATTGATAATGGTATAATAATGCAAGTTTGTCCTCTAAACTTGAATTTCGTAAAAGGACTCCTTACACTGGAACTGGTAGACGTTTTAAATAGCGAAAATAGAACGCAACAACCAAAAACAGTAAATAAAGCAGAACAACCACACACAACCTGGATCTGTAAACACAATTGCACTTCAAAAAATATGAATCATCAGAAAGGAAGTTATGGAGCTCATTTTAATTTATCATGTTATTAACTGATTAACTGCTTATTGCGACAGGGTTGCATTTGCATGTGAATAAGCTGCTGTAAATCCTCGCAAAAGTATTTATTCTCCTTTAATTTTTCTACATTTTGCCATGTTACAACCTCAAAACTTGGCTTTATTTATTGGAACTTTCATAAGAAAATAATGATGATAAAGTGTATACTGTTTCAACACTTTTACAGAGAAATGTTTGAAAAGTATGGAGTGCATTTGTATTTAGCCTCTTTTTCTATGACAGATTTTTTTCTTTAAAAAAAAAAAAACACACATCATCCTCCTTCCACTTCACAATAATGTGGTATTAAATCTATTAAAGAAAATACACTGTAGGGGCCCTATTGCAAGGCGCCGCGTGTAGCCGAACCTTCCAGTGTCCCGTCCTGACCCGGTTCCGGTTTCGGTCCAGCTCTTCCCAGACGTCGGCCTCCTGGTTGCGATGCTGGTGGTGGGGGGAGCCCGGCACGCGGTCGGGGCCGGGGTTGTTCTCCACGTCGCTCAGCTGCTCGTCCTGCAGAACCTCGTCTGTGTTCTCCCTCAGCAGGTCGCCGGGGATCAGAGAGGCGTTCACAATGCTGCGGCAACGAAATGTGCACACGCTGTTAAAATACCGTAAAGCTTTACAAAAAGGCCGGTTGTCCGCAGAGATCGCCGAGGGATTTTGGCCTCGTACCCCATCTGCGCGGGAGTGAGTCGGGTGTGATGCTGCGGTGTTGTGGCGCTGGCGCTGATCGTCAGAGTGCCGTCTGTGCTGGTTCGCTCCCAGTCGTAAGGGTCGTTTTCCACAACGTTGTAGGTTTTCATGCTGTTGTCGAACACCGACATCAACAGCTGCAACGACACACAGAGGCGTGATCTACCTTGTTGTCTGAGTTTTTCGTTCAGGAAAATCCATCAGAGCTTTTTGAGTATCGACCTGGTAGTCAGGCTTGGTGTAATAGTCAAGGCTGGAAATGTGTTCCAAGAATACGCCAAACTCTGCCGGCAGGTGTTTGAGCATCAGGCGATGGTCGTAAGTCTCCTTCAGTTTCCCCACGTGTTCCTGAGGTTAAACAGAGTTTTGCTGTTTGGTATATTTCATCACTCGAGGCGATCTGAACGAGCTTTTGATTTGAGAGTCGCCTCACTTTGTCTTTAATCTTCCTCCACGGCAACTGCCCGACCAAAAACTCCACCAGCATGTAGAAGAGAGACCACAGGTCGTCATGACGACCCATCTCCTGCAGAATTTAATAAACGTTGTGTTTATATTTCATCATGACAACAAAAAAATCAAAAAGACGCTTCTGCGTGTGTTTGAGCAACAGCAGCATCAATAAAATCATATACTTTACTTGAGGCTAGAGAATCATTTTTACGCTTCATGTGCCTGACGTCGCTAATTAGCCTCAAACTTAAATTTCACTCGTATTGAAGGTGAAATCTTCACACAGATGCAATCAGATTTTCTTTATAGAACCATGTAAGCTTTACTTTCAGCTTCACATTTGTTCATTTCCTTATGTTTCTAGATTCAATCCTAACAAATTGAGTGGAAGTTTCTGGTTGAAACGTGACAGAAGGAGTGCAAACTCTTTCATTACTGTATATTCACATTGGGTAGCATATCAGAGTGAGCAAATAGTAAACCTCTTTGGACAGACACTCACCTTGTTCTTGTGCGCATTCACAGAGGCGTAGCGAACTGTTCCCCTGAACCCTGCGACTGGACGAGGCTAACAAATAACATATATGGCAATTAAATTCATAGAAAAAAAAAACCTCTACAATGTGTTAGAGACTAGATCAAACCTAGATTTGATAAAATTCTGGAAAAAAAACAACTTTATGTATAAATCAATGAAATAAAATACATTCTTTTTAACATTAAATACTGTACATGAACTACTTTCTGTTAAATACAGCATAGTTTTCATTTTCAATCTTGTTTATTAAGCATCTACTGTAGAAAAAAACAACAGATATACAGACATCTCCATGTTTGCTATCTTTTTAAAATAGTTTTATTATTTATAGCCAGCATGAAATCAGAAAACTTTTAAGTAAAACAATAAAACAGTTAAGATACATATTTCAAAACTAAATGCAGTGAAAATGTGGTAGATGTTTTTTTTTTTTGTTTTTTTTTGCTGACCAATGATATTGATACAGAAACTTGATCTACAGCCTTATGATCAATAAATATACAGTAAGAGAGGAGTCCACTTACAGGGCGGACCTCCTGACAGGAGTTGGTGAACTGACGAGCCAAGCCAAAGTCCAGCATGTAGCAAGTCCGACAGGTACTGGGGAAGCGGCCCATGGCGAAGTTGGACTGAAACAGAAAGAGGTCGGACATGAGGAGGTAAGAAGTGCAGAATTTATAACTATCTGTGTGGTTTATTTCTATCCATACAGCTCCGAGATGATGAGAAGATCTGTGACAGCAGTTCACAGGTTAAACGATATTTACACTCTGGTACCTCAAGGCATTTAACCTGCTACCCTGCTTCTGAGCCAGCTAACTGAAAGCCATCACCAAGAAAAATCAGCATTAAATAATGGGGAAAAAAAGGATCACACAACGACTTCCAGGTCATTCAGGGAGGAAAATCCCTACATCCACACTGTATGTCACGCAGTTTAAACACTGTAGACCAAAGTAGATGACAGCAACACCAATTGTTTGTCTCTAAATAAACATACTTTTTGAATTATCTTGCCAGCACCACATCTATCCGGTGACTTTCATTCAAAAAAAACCTGCTGCACCAAAATATGCTTTTAATTGCCTTATTAAACTTGGTTAAATATAGCAGGCGTTTTCAAAGAAAGAGTGACCAAAATACTGATTTTATTGCTCAAAAACTAAACATTTTTTATTTTTAAATGTTCTTCCAGTTGAAATTTGTAAAAAAAAATAAAAAATCATTCTGTAAGGCAAACTTGCAACAAAAAACTTTAAAGTTTTGGATCTATTATAATTTACACATCCTTTTCTAACAAGTCCAATTACTTTATTTGTTTATTTGTTTGTTTAGTATTGTATTTGTTTAGTATTTTATGCTTAATTTATTATTAAATAGATAATATATATGTATATATATATATGTATTGTTTTTTTTTTTTGTTTGTTTTTTTTTTTGGCCATCAAGTTGTTTTTCCCATGTGGCAAAATATTTGTACCCCTCTTCCGTAGACTATAAGGAAACAAAAGGTTTACAGAAGACAAACTGCTCCCAGGATTTTTGCAACGCACCGGTTTGATGTCCCGATGCAAAAATCCGACAGAGTGGATGCTCTCTATGGCCTCCAGGATCTGGCGCCCCAGACGCAGGGTGGTGCTGATGCTGAACGTTCCCCGAGGCATGCTCCTCCTCAAATCTGCCAGGTTTCGACCCTGAAAGACGGCACGGGTTATACGTTAGTCCAACGGCAGGTTTGAAAGACGACTCTGACCCCAACAGCCTTCACATATCAGGTGATGATGCTACAGAAAAGGAAACTTCACAGCAGCCGCTGCAGTACCAGAAAAATCCCTGTGGATATTTATATTCAAATTGCAACAAAAATAAATAAATAGATGAATAAATAAAAATCAGACCACCAGAAGAAAAAACCGCCAATTATGTTTAGGACTGAGTTAGCTAATGGCCTTATCTGGTCGGGTGCTCAGCTACGGTTTTTCCAAGACCATTGATGAAACAGTACATCAACTGTTTCTGCTTAACACCCTCCAGTGTGTAGTTTGCAGGTTAGTAAATAAATTATTCATGAGAAGCTGTATTTTTAGACTTTTCTGAAATATTTATTTGGCTCACTTTTCTGTAAACAACTCCCAGACATGAGTAACATGCAGCTGGGGGCTGGGTGGAGGGGAAGGTGTGCATGACACGTCTCAGGTGTCAGCGCAAAGTCAAACCAAGATCAGAGCAAAGAGACTCTTTATGGGCAAACCTAGAGTCACATTCGATGACATTACTGGACATATAACTGAGCACCGTGAGCTACTGTTATCTCTCACGGCTCAGGTGCTCAGTATGGTTTGCTGTTGTTTCCGAAAAACCAATAAAAGGTAGAGAGGAAGTGAGTGATCAGTTAGTGACTGAATTGATTGGACCAGTTTTTATCTCGACCTGCCCTGACCTGTGATAGACCCTTCTGTAACTCCAAAAGACAATCTTTTTCTGACTTGAGTGCCAAGTAAGTCCCGCTTCCAACACTCTTGTGAGTGGAAGTTATTACGAAGGGAAAATATTACCCACTGAGAACATTTTACTTCATTTTTACTAATCTCTAAACGAGGTTCACCTTTGTCCTTATTGGACAAACTCATCTAAAAGATACAAAACGTGCCTTTCTTGTGGTGGTGTATTTCCCAGCATGGTTTTAATTGTACTGGAAACTTTTGATCAGACTGATTTTAATGTGTGACATTTCAAGGATTTATGCGTGTACCAACGATTTGGCAGGAACTTAACTCTGGTTTGCCACAGTATCTCCACATCCCTGCCAGTACGCGTGTCAGGAACCAGATGGTTCGGATTTTACTGTGAAGAAAAGTCCCTCGTATTTTCCATTTACGACACGAGCAGCTAATACCGGCAGTTCTCAGGCCCGTAGACGTCACATTTTTCCACGTTGTAAAAACAAATAAAAGAAAGAACCTGTTGTTTTTGTATTTGGAGTGAAGGCGTGTGACATTGCTCCATGGCTGACTCTGTGGCGTATCCCTCCACCAACACTGACCTGAAGCTCCATCACCACGTAGTTGAAGCGGTCGTTGCGGCCACATCCCACGAAGCGACACACGTGATCTTTACCTAAGAGAACGAGGATAAAATTGTTTCAAGCACACAGCCAACAATACAACCTGACCAGACACCAATACTGGTATTTAGCCACAGTAATTACATCTGTACTCAGTGGGATTTTTTCATATGGGCATTATGGGCTCACTGCCCAGGGCAAGATTATATCAAAGGGTGTACCAGATAGCTAACGGGACATTACATCCGTACAACAGAACCACAGACTCTAGAAAGAGTAAAGGTGGACGGCTATCGGCGTACATCAACGCTCAGCACGCATGCCTGGGGGGTAAAACTATGCATCGAACACTGCTGCGTCGCCAAAACCACAGAGTTTTGGCGACGCAGCAAAAACAAAAATGAGTAAAAACATTCATGCACATTTTATTGTCATCAAATTCGTATTTGGGGCAACAACAAGGTTAACTAATGCCTTTCGTGGCTCTCGTGATGACCAATGAGCCTTGGAATGATACTGTTGGTCAATGTTTACTCTCGACAGTTGCACGGATCAGCAGCGATGGGGGATTAGAGTTGAGTTCATCTCAAGTTACATGCAGGCTCCCTTAGGAAGCAGCAGAATCACAGGGCTGCAGGTCGAGGCCATTAGACAGCAAACATGATCCCAGCTCATCGATTTTCATCTCAGATGGGCAAAAGAAACACAACATGCTGGTTAAAAAGCAATAAAGTAGAGTTTGGAGTAAAAAAAAAAAAAATAAAGAAAAGAAAAAGAAATGGATTGAGTCTATGCAAACATTTTCTGATGAACTGTAAGAAGAAATTGACAATCAGGATACTGCAGCAAAAATGAAGTGTCACCCAAACTGAGTTTCAGACAACAATCTGTCCCCAGAACTGATCCACACATGGGATTGCCACTCAACATGCCATTTCCTGTGTTTTCAACAAGATTTATGTAAAAACGGTTTTCTTCTTCCCTACAACATTCACCCAATGACAAAAAGTACATGCATGTTGAATCAAATCAATAGGTCACTGTGTCGGCGTGGATCGATCGGTTCTTGTAAATGAATCCGCCGAGCCCATTTCCACTCACCCTGGAGCTTCTTCAGGACGGCGACCTCCATCTTTAGCACCTGTTTGGGCTGCTGGGCCGATTCCACCTTCAGCGCCACGCTGCCCCGCGTCAGCAGGTCCTGTGCCTCGTAGATCTCCCCAAAACCGCCGCCCCCTATCTTCTTTACCTGGAGGGGGGTTATAAAGGGAGGCGGACACAAGATAATCACCTCAGAAAGGGTAGAAACAAACAGAACAAATCAAACATCATGCAATGTCAAAATTGCTGTCCACAAAAGGTTTTCGAAAAACGATGGGCAAGGATTTCAGTTTCTAGATGTGTAGACATTTCCCATTTGCAATGGAGGTCAAACGCTGTTCGATAAGATATTAGGACAGGGGGATGAATACAAATGCCTGCCACACTTTTAAGATTTCTGTTTGTAAACTATTTGGACACAATTATGAGCGCCATTGTGTCAGTGGTGTATCAGAAATACATTAAGATCCCCCTCAAAAAAACACTTTCAAAGACACTAAGAAAGTTCTAGACATTTGAATACTTTTACAATTTTGATTAGGATTTGAGAAAAAAAAAAGATTACTAGGGGAAAAAAACAATTTACAGTTTTTATTATTTTCATAATAAAAAATGAAAATTGTGAGAATGTGAAAAGACAATCTGATTATAAAGCGAAAACGTCATGGGACAACACAGTGAGCTCAACTCTGTCTTCTATGAAGATAAATTATTCGTTCTCTCATTACGTACTGAGCTCTGTAGATTATCTCAGCCTCCAACTCCTCTACCTTTCCCCCCACCACCCTCCATCACATTCTTAAGACTTCATTTTCCCCTCAGCCCCCCGTGTCCTTCGCTGTCCTCCAAGCTGTCTGAGTTTTGGAGTCACTCTGAGAGCCGGAGTGGTGGATTTAGCTGCAGAGTCCTTACGTAACCCCGGCTGCTGAGAAGACAGGAAGCGGTGCCAGGCTGCCAGTTGGGGACAACTGCATCACATGGCACCGAAACAGGCCCCCGGCACCAGGAGACACCGGCCTATGGGGGATCGTCTGCCTATAGCACACTGCGCTGCCACAAATAGCAACAACGGCTATTTTCGGATTTCCCACACTGCAGCAGGAAAACTTGGAAGAGGAGGTAAAAATGTCAAACTGCAGAAGTTGTAGGAAAAAAAAAAAAATGATTTTTTTTTTTTTTTGCAAGGACAAAGACTCATTGTTAGTGAGACAAGGGGGTTAACTTGGGACAGGCGGTGATGGGGGCTGGACAAACACGGCGCCCATTGTAGCTGGAAGATGACCCACTTACCACTTTCCATCGCTCCTTGACTAGGGAGAGGCCGCTCAGGATGTCAGCTTGCTCCGCTCCCCCGCTCATCCCGCCTGTGGATCCGGGGACGCTGCCCTCGCTGCTGCCCTTCGACCAGGAGCCTCACACGGGGCTGGGCATTTGGAAGCTGATGCAGAGACCTAGAAAAGTCCAGGAGACGCACAAAACCCGTCAGGGACCGTTTAAAGGATCTGGGCAAAATGTGGTTCAGCTGGTGAAGTATGACACAGCTGCAAAAAAAATAAAAAATAAAAAAATAAAAAAATCATGAAAGACGACACAGGACTAAGGCCTCACTGGCTGGAGCCGTACAATACTCAGCCATCACAGCAGCTGCAACAACTGTTCCTCCTGCAGCTGTCTGTCTGGACAAACGCAGCAGCAAAAGCCCTACGTCTTGAATTACAAATAACATTTCAAACTGGTAGGATCCTCTTTCACATGATGGTGAAACAGAAAACATACCAGAAAATTTGACTAAACCTTTTATTTTTGCAACATTTTGCATTAGATGTCCGTTTCCAGTGGTTGCATGGAGCAAAACAGGCAAACGACCACGAAAAGTTTGATTTTCTACTCTTGAAACATGCTAACTTTTACAAATTTCTATATTAGACATTAGATCACAATTCTTTATGGATGATAAAAATGATGAAATAAAGTTAAGCTGCAATACCAAATCATTTGAAGCGCATTCACAGCTTATTTATCAGGAACATCATGTCTTCAAACTTCGATGCATTTTACAGGACCTTTTTTGACAGGCCAACATAAAAATGGACATAATTGTAACGTGGAAAGTAAGCAATTTTATGATATTAAAATATAAAAATAAAATAAATATCTCCAAAGTGTGGCATACATTTGTTTTCAACCTCTGTAGTAGATACTTAGCCCTTTAGAGCCCGTATTTCTGCCATTTTTGCTTCAAATGTTTTGCTTTTTTTTTTTCTTTCTTCCTTTTAATAAATTATTTGAACCAAGAAACAAAGCACTGAGAGCCTACACAGGGCCTAATGCTGGACAATTAGACTCTGTACAAAATGGGAGAAAAGGGTATTAAAAACAACACAGAGAGTCCTACTACTTTTACAGTAAACACTTAATTTGTAAAATGTGACAAATTAGAAGTAGTGTCATGTTAGTGCATGCACATTTTACATAAAAAAGAAAAACCCCGGTGTTTATAAAAGCAGCCTGAACTGTTGCTTCCCCAGGAAAAGCTGCGTCTTTATTCCCACGTTATACAACATCTGTGTCAGAGATAAGCCTTCCTCTGGAGAGCACACGCTGGCAACTTCCTCTGCTCTGCCTTCAAACACACGGAGCAAGACCGACTTCGATTCATCATTCTGCGCACGCTGCGAGCGAGGGTTATGCAACGGCCTTCAAAAAGCCACTTGGTTGTAGGGCGTGAGCTGGTGAGGAGGAACCTCACCGGCGCCGTTAGACGGAGGTACGACTGGGGAACTGTGGCGATGACGAGTGGGGAAAGGTTGGGCTCAGGAGTCAAATGGCTCTGGAGAAGCTAATGACACTGAAACGATACAAGCATCTTTTTTTTCCTATGATCTAAATTGACTGTAATAATCATTAAACTGTGCTTTGTTGTGTAAAATAAACAGATAATTATAATTTTTTGTATTTTTTTCCCTCTCTTCTTGTAATCCATTGAGCTGTACACCATACGGTATGCGTTTTGTTTTTAAAATAAATGTTATTTTCACCCAGCGTTTTTCTTTTGTTTCACATGTTTTCCCAGACATAAGTCCATCTCATAAGTTGTGCAAAAAACAAAAAAGAAGACATTAAAATAAATTATTATGAGCTGAAATAAGCCGTATTAACGTGCAAAATTCCAATGCTTTTGTATGAGACACATAATTTCCACTTGTAGGATAAGAAGAATGCTTTTCAAACACAGCTGTTAACACTTTTATTAAAAACATCAGTCATTTAAGCTGCTACAACAATACAAGATGCATATAAAATATGAATAGCGTTTATCAGACATAAACAGATTTTGATATGGGAAAATATTTTTGAAACACCAAATGTTTTTTTTTTCATTTTAATAAAGGAATAAAATCTAGGTTTCTTTCAAGCAGCTGACCAGCAGTGTGCAGCAATAGGTGGCGAAGGAGCAGCACTGGATCACTCCATGCACCATACAGCTTAGGAACATTCTCTGCCATTCTATTAAAAAGATTTAATAATGTAATAATGGTCAATTTTAGAGGTATTATTATTTACTGCTAAACATTAGGCTATTTTTTTTTTCTAAGCGTGTTTATGATTCGAAAGGCATGGAGGAAAAGCCAAAGACAACTGACTTTGGAGATGAGGGTATGGTGATTGTGTGGCCTGTACTTGGTCAAATTAAAGTCGTCTTCCTTCGAATTCAACCTCAGTCACTTCAATCATTGCAAATATCTGCATGCTTTTAAACTCCATCTCACTCGCTGTCACAGTTCACACACACACAAACACACACACACACACACACACACACACAGAGTGACTGATCTAACATGTGACGACGAGGCGGGGCCATGTTCTTCCTCCTCCTCAACGCCGCTCGTCGTCAATGATTAGGAAAAGGAAAACAAACCTTAAACCCTGGCAGCGTGCTGCCCCCTCTCTCTCTCTCTCTCCTATCGTGAATCACGCTTCCTGACCCAGCATTTCCATGGCGACGCCGGCGCAGAGCCATTTTCGTTCGCTGACGTGGCTCGTCATCACCTCTGCCCTTTTCGCTCGGCCGGGAAGACGCGCGTTTTTAGCTTAGCCATCATGAAAACCTGCAGTCCATGCATGTGCATCAGCACAGGCATGCAGGGAGGGACACTTGGCAGAACGTGTTCAACGTGTTCCTGTGTTGCGGCAGGCCTAATCTTGGAGTGGCCTAGTTCGGCATAGCTGGACAGAGGTACACGTCCAGAGCTTGCAGCTGGATGAAGAGTCTAGTTTAAAACTGGGTAGGGGTCAGCTCTGGCAATGCCCTGGCTGCACGCTATGACCGAGATCAAGGCAGGCTTTAGGTGCGGCAAGAATGAATAACCCAATGTGATTATTTACAAAATAATTTAAAAAAAGAAGTTTGAGAGAAAGTGTTGCAGAAGGCGAACTGGGATTTTTCTCTGACTAACTCAGGAGGAGTCAGGATGAAATGCTTGCAAGGATACGCAAGACATAATAAAGTACTCACTGAGCTTTGTGCGTTATTTGTGACCCCAGCTAGAACACAACATCTGGAATTATTAGAATACAATAGTAGCATGGAATAGCGACTCAACAAACCAGACAGTGGCCCGAGTCAGTGCATAAGACTCTAGTTAGGACGGGGAGATATGGATTAAAAATAAAATCTCGGCTTTTCTTCTCATTTTTTTTTCCTTAAAAAGACATTACAAGTAACAGAAAATGCTTTTAAAAAACTGTCTTTCCTTTCAATACATACATACTTCTGAAACATGATGATAGACTTTGAACTGTAGAAATCCAAGGAGTACATTGGTGGGGAAAGAAAAAAAAAAAAAAAAAAAAACTATCCATATTTTCCAAGAATTAAAATCTTCAAAAACAGGAAATTCTATGAAACCATTAAAAGAAAAATATCGATTTGTCGCCCAGCTCTAACTCACATCAGACTTGCGTTGCAAAACACAAGACTCCAGACTTGAGTTGACCTCAAGAACCTTCTGGACTCGACACACACTCAAGGTTTAGATCTGAAGACTTGTAAGTAATTCTTTGTCTGTTTAATCAGTGGTGACAATAAGCAAGTAAAGCTTATTGTCACAGATGAAATGATGAGTGTTGCCCCCTTCGAGTTACTGTGACCACAACCACAACTCGACTCCAATGACCTCTGAGTTCTGATGGAATCGGCAAGGTTGAAGCGAATTGGGGAAAAAAAAAAAAAAGGACGACCGCCTTTCAAACTATAACTGGTATGTTATACCAGTTGGTTAAATAAAGGTAAGACAAAAAAAATAAATAAAACAAAACTTTTCAGTAGTAAGGTTATTTAAGCGTTGAAATGTCAGTCTGGTGATGCAAAATTTGTTGTTATTGTTCCAAAAACATACTTTACAGTAATAAGACAAGTTTGGAAAAAAATATCTGCTTAGCTATCGGTTTGGTGTTCGACAACAGTCACAGTTTTATGACCCCAAAGGAAAGTAACCCACCATTGGAAAACATGCCTAAAGGAACATTTTTGATTGAATTAACAACGAGAAAAATACAAATGGATGTACGTTAGATTTCTTATGATGAATTCTCATGGTGCCTAATGCTTTTTTTTTTAAATAACATTTTGTGAAAACCCTGCAAATGAAACACATCTTTGTCAAATAAGCGCTATTAAAAAAAAAACCACAATAAGAGCTACAAGTGCTAGATGTGCATTTATCTTGGACTTTAAAACTGTTCCAAGAAGACTTTAAAGAGTTCACTGCCTGCAGAAGAAAACATCATGAGTAGTTTTCTGCTGGCTGCAGAGCAAACAATGGATGTTTGCAGATGTTCAGTATGGTTCAGTTTTTCCATTTAAGAGGTCAGTTTATGCTGAGTTTTTTTGTTGTTGTTGTTGTTTTTCTTTTTTGTTATTATTATTTTTGCCTGAAGCAGTTTGACGACAGTCTGCTTTGGCAGAAGAATAAATACAGAGTTAAGAATTTGCTCCAGATCAGACAAAAATAATCATGATATTGGAGAAAACTGCGTGTTTGATAAAGGCGCGTTTCATTTGCAGGTTTAATTTGTGGTACTCCTTTTCTGGCTACGTAAAAACTTTGCAGAGATACAAAGTCATATTGAAGGTAAATTTAATTAAGTCCCACAAAGGCAGCATGTGTTTATTTCCGTTACACGTTGTCCATCAAACCTATCATGGAGAATGTGCAAATTACAAACTGACAAAAAGTTTTTTTTTTTTTTTTTTTAGTCAAAATCTGTTTAAATGGCAACTGTATAAGTGAAGGTAAAATAAGCATTGCTTCAACTTAAACCTTTTTGGTTATTGGGTTTAGTTTACATGATGAGAGTATTTTTTTTCTACATGATTGTTATTTTTTTCTAGAAAACAATTTCTTTTTTAATAATAAAAAAAAAAGAAAAGCAAACCCAATCGACT